TATATATATATATATATGTAGGTATAGCCCCACAAAGTTCTTCTGATTATTCAAATGTGCATCTAATATCAAGAGGCATTGGATTAGAAATGAATGATTCTTCTCTCAGGACAAGAAGACAGCATAGAAGGACATATTTTCATCTCTCACTCAAGAAGGGGCCATCTGTGAATCAATTTTACAGGCTGAAAACAATTACAGGCAATCAGGCTCTCCTTGACGAGAGGAGACCACCCCCACCCTCTCTCCAGAGAAAGCTTAATCCCCAGACTGTGACTGTAGCTTGTGGAGGGTCGCTCTTGGAAGCTGCCAAGTGTGAATTAGTAGAAAGGGCATCTTGGGGAAGCAGGACCCACACCAATTTCCTCACTTTGGAAGGAATCCCTGACTACAAAAGCAACAAAGGGGCCCCTTTCAGGAGAAAACCCCGAAGAGCATCTTCATCCATCTAAACCCCTTCAGCTCTTTATGAAATGGGAGCCTGCAAGAGAGGAGACGAGAATGGAAGCGGTGGCCGCCTCAGTACTTACTTCTGAGTTGCCCAATGCAAAGCTGCCTGAACCTGCTCTCCCAGTTGCTTGAGGACACTGATGAGCTCTGGCTGCCTAGAAGGAAGCTGAAATGGCAGGGTGCTTGTCTCCTTCTCCAGGTCTTCTAGTCTTTGTTTCAACTTCTCAGCTGAAAATGCAAAAGGATGTGAAGAAGACGAAAAAACAAAACATGAAACTCAGCTAATCCAATGCCAGTGTTCTCCCCCTTATCCCGTTTTACTTAATGGCATAATACAAAGGTGACTGATTTCGAGGCCAACATTTGCATCTTTGAAGATTCTTCTGTCTTTTTACCAACAACATGACCCTCCTACCTCCCATTCTCCAAGCTCTCAGAGGTTATAGTCTATGACCATCACACAGAGGAATACTTTATGTAATTTTTTAAACCATGGTGATCATTTGGTAGAAAAATTTGCAAATTTTGATGTATGGTACATAATTCATTAAGGAGCTCTGGTACTGTAGTGATTATGAGTCGGGCTGCTAACCTCAAGATCAGCAATTTGAAACTACCAGCTATTCTGCAGGAGAAAGATGAGGGTTTCTGCTCCTGTAAAGATTTCCATTCTTGGAAACACTATACAGGCTCGCTATGTGTCAGAATCTACCACCCCACCACCACCACCACCACCACCACCACCACAGAATCCACTGGAAAAAAATCAGTGCCCAAGAGTTCATTTTAAGAACATTTCATCTCTATAACATAGAGATAACACTGAAAGAAAGCCTTATGCTGAGTGAAGTAAATCAGATACAAAAGAATCAATAGCGTGTGATCTCCTTTACATAAAATACAATAGATGCCATGTAGACCTTGCCAAGTAGAATACACAGGAATCAAGATCAACTATATCTGTGGAAAGTGACAGTGGAGATGATGAGGATCGTAAGTTAGAACAAAGCCTGAGGTTGGCTGTGGAACAGACCATCAATTCCTCATATGCAAGTCCAAGTTGAAGCTGAAGAAAATAAAAACAAGTTCATGAGAGATACATGTGACATTCAATATATCCCACTTGAAATTAGGGAACATCTGAAGAAGATTTCACACACTGAACAGGAATAACCAAAGACCAGATGAGTTGTGGGATAGTATATCAAGGGCATCAGACATAAGGAATGCAAAAGGCAGGAAAGAAAGAAAAGACCAAAATGGATGTCAGAAGACTCTGAAACTTGTTCTATAATGTAAAGAAGCAAAAGAGAACAGAAAAAAATATGAAACAAAGAGCTGAACACAAAATTTCAAAGGGCAGCTCAAAAAGACAATGCAAAAGATTTGGAAACACACACACACTCTCACACACAGGAGGAAGATGTCACATGAGGCAAGACACACATGACAATTATTACAAACTACTAGAAGCTGAAATAGACATTGATCCCCACTGAACAGTTCTCATCTTGTCAAGATGGGTCTGGTGAAAGGCGATAGGGATATGATTCTTTTGATTCAATAGTAATTATTATCATGACTAATTGTGACTGTCACCAATGTAAAGGTAGAATTTCAGTGACAAAAACAGCAAACCATCCAAAGGATGCAATATCTAGAAATAAATGTAACCAGAGAAACAAAGGACCTATACAAAGAAAACTACAAAACGCTACTATAAGAAACCAAAAGAGACCTACAAAAATGGAAGAATATACCATGCTCCTGGATAGGAAGACTTAACATTGTGAAAATGTTAATACTTCCCAAAGCAATTTATACATATAGTGCAATCCCAATCCAGATTCCAACGACATTCTTCAAAGACATGGAAAAAACTATTATAAACTTTATATGGAAAGGAAAGAGACCCAGGATAAGCAAAGCACTGCTTAAGAAGAAGGATAAGGTTAGAAATCTCTCATTCCCAGACTTCAAATTTTATTACACAGCTACAGTGGTCAAAACTGCTTGCTACTGGTATAA